AAAACCAGCCTGGGAACGGGCCAGCCGAGGGGCTGAGCGACTGAGGGGCGGCCGACGAGCCTGGGGCGACCAGTGCAATTGATGGGCAAGCAAAAACAAGCCAAACAAACCAACATCAGCCTGGGAACGGGCCAGCCGAGGGCCCGAGCGGCCGAGGGGCGGCCGACGAGCCTGGGGCGACCAGTGCAGTTGATGGACAAGCGAAAACAAACCGAAACATTCAACGAGCCTGGGAACGGGCCAGCCGAGGGGCCGAGCGGCCGCAGGGGCGGCCGACGAGCTCGGGGCGACCAGTGCAAGTGATGGACCAGCGAAACCAAACCCAAACAACAAGAACCGGCCTGGGAAATGGCCAGCCAAGGGGCCGAGCGGCCGAGGGGCGGCCGACGAGCCTGGACCAGTGCAACTGATGGACAATCGAAAACAAAACAAAACGACCAAAACCAGCCTGGGCACGGGCCGGCCGAGGGGCCGAGCGACCGAGGGGCGGCCGACGAGCCTGGTGCGACCACCGAAACCGATGGACGAGCGACAACAAGCCAAACCAACCAAAACCAGCCTGGGAAATGGCCAGCCGAGGGGCCGAGCGGCCGAGGGGCGGCCGACGAGCCTGGGGCGACCAGTGCAACTGATGGACAAGCGAAAACAAACCAGAACAACCAGAACCAGCCTGGGAACGGGCCGGCCGAGGGGCCGCTCGGCCGAGGGGCGGCTGGCGAGCCCGGGGCGACCAGTGCACATGATGGACAAGCGAAAACAAAACAACCAAAACCAGTTTGGGAACGGGCCAGCCGAGGGGCCGAGCGGCCGAGGGGCGGCCGACGAGCCTGGGGCGACCAGTGCAACTGATGGACAAGCGAAAACAAGCCAAAACAACCATGACCAGCCTGGGAACGGGCCGGCCGAGGGGCCGCTCGGCCGAGGGGCGGCTGGCGAGCCCGGGGCGACCAGTGCACATGATGGACAAGCGAAAACAAAACAACCAAAACCAGTTTGGGAACGGGCCAGCCGAGGGGCCGAGCGGCCGAGGGGCGGCCGACGAGCCTGGGGCGACCAGATGCAACTGATGGACAAGCGAAAGCAAGCCAAAACAACCAGAACCAGCCTGGGAACGGGCTGGCCGAGGGGCCGCTCGGCCGAGGGGCGGCTGGCGAGCCCGGGGCGACCAGTGCACATGATGGACAAGCGAAAACAAAACAACCAAAACCAGTTTGGGAACGGGCCAGCCGAGGGGCCGAGCGACCCAAGGGGCGGCCGACGAACCAGGGGCGACCAGTGCAAGTGATGGACGAGCGAAAACGAGCCAAAACAACCGAAACACGCCTGGGAACGGGCCAGCCGAGTGGCCGAGCGGCCGATGGGGCGGCTGGCGACTTCGGGCGACCAGCGAATATTGATGGACAAGCGAAAACAGACCGAAACAACCAAAACCAGCCTGGGGACGGACCAGCCGAGGGGCCGAGCGGCCGAGGGGCGGCCGACGAGCCTGGGGCGACCAAGCGAAAACAAACCCAAACAACCAAAACACGCCGGGGGACGGGCCGGCCGAGGGGCCGAGCGGCCGAGGGGCGGCCGACGAGCCCGGGGCGACCAGTTCAACTGATGGACAAAAACCAGGCCGGGAACGGGCCAGCCGAAGGGCCGAGCGGCCGATGGGCGGCCGACGAGCCTGGGGCGACCTTTGCAACTGATGGACAAGCGAAAACAGACCGAAACAACCAAAACCATGCTCGGAACTGGCCGGCCGAGGGGCCGAGGAGCCGAGCGGCCGAAGGGCGGCCGACGAGCCTGGGGCGACAGGTGCATCTGATGAACAAGCGAAAGCAAACCAAAATCACCAGACCAGCCAGTCGAGTTTGGGAAGTTTGGGAACGGGCCAGCCGAGTGGCCGAGCGGCCGATGGGGCGGCCGACGTGCCTGGGGCTGCCAGTGCAATCGATGGACAAGCGAAAACCAGCCAAACCAACCAGACCCGGCCTGGGAACGCGCCGGCCGAGGCCGAGGGGCGGCCGACAAGCTTGGGGCGACCAGCGCACTTGATGGGCAAGCGAGAACAAACCACAACGACCAAAACCAGCCTGGGCACGGGCCAGCCGAGGGGCCGAGCGTCCGAGGGGCGGCCGACGAGCCTGTGGCGACCAGTGCAACCGATGGACAAGCGAAAACAAATCAAAACAACCAAAACCAGCTTGGGAAAGGCCCAGCCGGGGGGCCGAGCGGCCGAGGGGCGGCCGACGAGCCTGGGGCGACCAGCGCAACTGATGGACAAGCGAAAACAAGCCAAAACAACCAGAACCAGCCTGGGAACGGGCCGGCCGAGGGGCCGCGCGGCCGAGGGGCGGCTGGCGAGCCCGGGGCGACCAGTGCAATTGATGGACAAGCGAAAACAAAACAACCAAAACCAGTTTGGGAAAGGGCCAGCCGAGGGGCCGAGCGGCCGAAGGGCGGCCGACGAGCCCGGGGCGATCAGCCTTATTGATGGACAAGCGATAACAAGCCAAGCCAGCCAACATCAGCTTGGAAACGGGCCAGCCGAGGGGGGGCGGCCGAGGGGTGGCCGACGAGCCGGGGGCGACCAGTGCAACCGATGGACAAGCGAAAACAAACCAAAACAACCAAAACGCGTCAGGGAACGAGGGGCCGAGCGACCGAGGGGCGGCCGACGAGCGCGGGCCAGCCGAGGGGCCGAGCGACCGAGGGGCGGCCGACGAGCCCGGGGCGACCAGTGCAACCGATGGACAAGCGAAAACAAACCATTGCAAGCAAACCGCGCCAGGCGGATGGCCAGCCGAGGGGCCGAGCGGCCGATGGGCGGCCGACGAGCCTGGGGCGACCAGTGCCACTGATGGACATGCGAAAACAAATCAAAACAACCAGAACCATGTTCGGAACTGGCCGGCCGAGGGGCCGAGCGTCCGAGGGGCGGCCGACGAGCCCGGGGCGACCAGGGCAACACGTGGACGAGAAAAACAATCCCCAAAAAGCAGAACCAGCAAGTGAGCGGGCCAGCCGAGGGGCCGCGCGGCCGAACGGCGGCCAACGCGCCTGGGGCGACAGATGCAACTGATGGACAAGCGAAAACAAGCCAACACAACAAAGACATGCCAGGGAAATGGCCAGCCGAAGGGGCCGAGCGACCGAAGGGCGGCCGACGAGCCTGGGGCGACCAGAGCAACGCAAAGACAAGCGAAAACAAACCAACATTGCCAAACCACGCCAATGAACGGGCCAGCCAAGGGGCCGAGCGGCCGAGGGGCGGCCGGCGAACTTGGAAGGACCAGCGCAACCGATAGACAAGCAAAAACAAACCAAAACAACCACAACGCGCCAAGGAACGGGCCAGCCGAGGGGCCAAGCGGCCGATGGGCGGCCGACGAGCCTGGGGCGAGCAGCGCAACCGCAGGACAAGCGAAAACAATCTGAAACAACCAGAACATGTCAAGGAAAAAGCCGGCCGAGGGGCAGAGCGACCGAGGGGCGGCCGACGAGCCTGGGGCGACCAACGCAACCGCAGGACAAGCGAAAACGAGTCAAAACAACCGAAACCAGCCTGGGAACAGGCCAGCCAAGGGGCCGAGCGACCGAGGGGCGGCCGACGAACCTGTGGCGACCTGTGCAACAGATGGACAAGCGAAAACAAACCAAAACAACCAAAACGCGCTAGGGAACGGGCCAGCCGAGGGGCCGAGCGTCCGCGGGGCGGCCGACGAGCCTGTGGCGACCAGTGCAACCGATGGACGAGCGAACACAAGCCAACAAAAACAAAACCAGCCAGGGAACGGGCCAGTCGAGGGGCCGAGCGACCGAGGGGCGGCCGACGAGCCTGCGGCGACCAGGGCATCTGATGGACAAGCGAAAACAGTCCCCAAAAAACGGAAACAGCAAGTGAACGGACCAGCCGAAGGGGCCGAGCGGCCGACGGGCGGCCGACGAGCCAGAGGCCACCAGCGCAGCCGATGGACCAGCGAACGCAATCCAAAAAAACCCAAAAGCAGCCAGGGAACGGGCAATCCGAGGGGCCGAGCGACCGCGGGGCGGCCGACGAGCCTGGGGCGACCGGTGCAACCGATGGACAGGCGAAAAAAACCCAAACAACCCAAACACGCCAGGGAACGGGCCAGCCGAGGGGCCGAGCGATCGAGGGGCGGCGGGCAGGCCTGGGGCGACCAGCGCAACCGACGGACAAGCGAAAACAAGCCAAAACAACCCAAACCAGCCAGGGAACGGGCAATCCGAGGGGCCGAGCGACCGAGGGGCGGCGGGCGAGCCTCAGGCGACCATTGCAGCCTTGGGACAAGCGAAACTTAGCAAAAAACAGACCAGCCAGGGAATGGGGCCAGCCGAGGGGCCGAGCGACCCATGGCCGTTGCGCGCCGCTGAGACAGGGCCTGGAAATTTGTAATATATTTCTTGTATGTTTAGTTGTTGTGTTTTTTTGTTGGGCGGCCCCGAACACAATCTACTGATTCCGCCTTCCTACTACGTGTTTCTACTGACCTTTTCTTGCCGACGTGTAAAAGTCTTGCAATTGTTCGGAGCGTGCGCGTCGCGAGGGGGCGAGAGCCACACTTTGAGACCGAGCCGACCTCGATCCGTGAAGCCCTTGCAGTTGCTAAAAATCGAATGCGCGGCTCCACGGCGAGAGCCACGTTTTGAAAGCCACCCGCCCTCAACTGGCAATTGATCACAACGAATGTGCGCGACGCTGCGGCGAGAGCCACATTTTGAAAACGGCCCACCCTCCATCTGTGAAGCTTCTGCAGATGTTCAAAGCGAAAGCGAAGCGCCTGGCCCGCCCTTCCGACCGGCGTCGGCACGCGACAGGGAGAAGTATGTATAAGGAAAAAGAATGGAGGAGGAGGAGGAGGAGGAGGAGGAGGAGGAGGAGGAGGAGGAGGAGGAGGAGGCGGAGGCGGAGGAGGAGTGGGGAAGGAGGCGGGGGAGGATGAGAGAGGCCAGGGGAGGTGGGCCCCCCCCTCACGTGCAGCCGCGCGGTCGAGGAAGCTGGAGCTGGCCGTGGCGGCGGCCCGCTTCCGCGACGGCGCGCGCCGCGCGCGCGCGGAGCCCGGCGGCGAGCGCGAGCCGAGCGAGGGCGTGCCCGCGGCGCCCACGGAACCGCTGCGGAGCCGCGGCCGCGAGAGCCCGGCGGTGCGGCGGGCCGCGAGCGGCGGCAAGCCCCGGGGCGCTGTCAGAGGCTGCTCTGTCGCAGACGTCGACTACACGCAAGAGTGGCCCTTTGCCAGAGTGACTTCTGGTGCGGGCCCACTGGGGGCCCCGATCGCCGAACGCGTGGCGGCAGTGGCGTCTTGCGCGCTTGCGTTTTGCCCCCCCCCCCCCCCCCCCCCCCCCCTCCCCCCCCCCCCCCCCCTCTCCCCCCCGCTCCTCTGCGGCCCCCCAAGAAGTCGCGCACCAAAGGTCATTCTTGCCCAGGGTCGCTCTTACGTGTAGCCGAAGAGATCCGACGCTCCAACAAGCCATTGGAGCGGCGGGCCTCGGGGAGTCTCGACTGATCCGCGCTCGAGTTTCTCATCGTCGGGGCCTCGTTTCAGTGGGCGTTCCATGGCGGTGCCCTCATGGTCCCCGGCCCCAGAGCGTCGTCTGAGGGGGTGATGGAGGTCGTTTGTTCTTGAACACCCTGCTGTATTTGGTGGTTGTTTCAGTTTCCAGCTCCTTCCGCCAGACTGCCGACGCTCCGTAAAAATTGGAGCGGATGCCGCGGCCTTGGGCGTCGGTTTCCATGGGGACGATCAAAGGAGTCGAGGGAGAACGGTGTAATTTTCTGGCCGTCTTCGACCTTCAGAAGCCCTCGCCAGGCTTCGGGACTGTCCAAAAACGACTCCGGGCGAGAAACCGGCTCGATGCGGGCTCGATGCGGGCCCCACGCGGATTTAGCATGGATTCGAGGCGGGTGCGGCGCGGATTCGACGCGGATGCGACGAGCCCGATGTGAATTTGACACGGATTCGACGTGGATATGCGCGCGCGACGGGACACGCGAGGCCTCCGGGCGCTGCCAGAGGCTTCTCCTCTATTCCCAGATGCCTCGGGACCGTCAGATCATGCAATCGGAGCTCCTAGCATCAGGATGTCACAGTGGGGCATCAGTGGGCAGCGTGGTGGAGACTCCGTGGGCGCGCTTGGTTCAGTGGGCTGTAGCAGGGGCCTCGGTGGGCAGTGTGCGGGGCCTCTCCGGGCTGCGCGTTGAGCCTGAGTGGGCAGCGTGCTCGTGCCTCTGTGGGTGCGCTCGGGGCTTCTGTGGGCTGTGTCAAGGGCCTGAGTGGCGCTCCCTGGAGGAGCGGGAGAGGCACGAAACCGTGTAGAGTATGGTGTTCCGATGCTCTCCTCGCTCTGGCGGGGCGTCTCTGGAGGAGTAGGATGAGCGCAGAAACCGTGTACAGAGTATGGTGTGTTTCGGTGCCCTCTTCGCTCTGGCGGGGCCTCCCTGGCGGGGTGGGGGGGCCCGACATCGTGTGAATAGTATGGTGTTCCGATGCCCTCGTCGCTCTGGCAGGATGGGCACGAAACCGTGCTTGGTGTTCCGAGACCCTCCTCGTTCTTGCGAGGCCTTCTTGGAGGGGTTGGAGGGGCGCGAAACCGTGTAGATAGCATGTTGTTCCGTTACCCTTGTTTGGGCGGGGCCTCTCTAGAGGGGCAGAAGGGGAACGACACCGTGTAAACGGTCCGTATCGGGCAGGGGCAGGGGGGGGCAGGGGCAGGGGGCGGGGACTCTCTCTAGAGGCGCAGGGGCAGGGGGAGCAGTATCGTGGTCCGATGCCCTCCCCGTTCTGGCGGGGCCTCCCTGGAGGGGTGGGGAGGGGCACGAAACCGTGTGAATAGTATGGTGTTCGGATACCCTTCTCGCTCTGGCGGGGCGTTCTTGGAGGGGTGGGAGGGGCGCGAAACCGTGTGAATAGTGTTGCTTTTTCATACCCTCCTCGCTTTGGCGGGGCCTCCCTGGAGGGGTGGGAGGGGCAAGCAACCGTATAACTAACATTGTTTTCTCATGCCCTCCTCGCTCTGGCGGGGCCTTCTGGAGGAGCAGGAGGGGCACGAAACCGTGTAAATGGTATTGTGTGGGGGATACCCTCTTCGCTCTAGCGGGGCCTCCCTGGAGGGGACGGAAGGGGCGCGCCACCCTGTAAATAGCATGGTGTTCCGATACCCTCCTCGCTTTTGGGGGGCCTCCCTGTAAGGATGGGATGGGCACGAAACTCTGTAAATAGTATGGCGTTCCGAAGCCATCCTCGGTCTGGCGACGCTTCCCTAGAGGGGTGGGAGGGGCGCGAATCCATTTAAATAGCATGGCGTTCCGATGCCCTCCTCGCCTTGTGATGTGAATCGTATGAAGCTCCGATGCCGTCCTCGCTCTGGAGAGGCCTCCCTGGAGGAACAGCAGGGACACTACCCTTGGTTAATTGCAGTTGCTGAAGAATCTGCTTCGCAGTTGGACACTAGTCGTTTTCGTCGTAGTAGTAGTAGTGGTAGTAGTAGTAGTAGAGGTAGTCGTCGTAGTAGTCGTAGTAGTAGTAGTAGT